AGACCCAATATCTTTGTTCAAACACCCCCCTCTCTTTGTACCTTGTGCCCTTGATAAGGCTCAAAAACAAAACAAACAGAATTGTGGTGATTCTATACAGAATTAAAATAAAGATAGAGAGCACACAAAAGTAACAGAGGCACAGAAAATCTTCCAAAGGTTGTTAAAAACACTTATCTGCACTGCACAGGACATCTAAGCAAACAAGTCCGCCCTCTCAAAAACTTCTATAGATGATTCCGGCTGTTCTCTCACCCCTTGTTTCTCATATCCACTCCTGCTTAGGGAGAATCTGCTCTTTGTCAGACTCTGTGAATGAAAAGATGATTGAGATACCAGATGATGTGATCTTATAGTCTATTGAGGAAGACAAGTCCCATTGACAGGCAGTCGCAATACATTTCATCAAGACAAGAGTGTACCATCTTCTCTTAGGGAAACTGAAGCCACAGCCTCCTTACAGTTCCTCCCACCCAAGGTCTCCCCATTTACAATTCATTAACATCAAGCGTTGTTCAGAGCTTCCTATTCTCCCCCTTGAAAATTTTTTCCACCCTTGAAAAGTTTTCCATGCCTCTACATTACCTATTAACATCAGGTTTACCCCCAGATCCTGGTACACCAACTCCCCAGTTCTCGGGCCCCAGCTGGTCTCTCTACCTTACCTCATACTTCCCTCTTAAAGGAAAGCAGCTTGTGCATAAACATCATTTTCCCAGTGAACATCCCACCCACTTGTGTGTTTGTCTCTCTGCCCTCAGTTTATTTCCAATGGCTTCTTTCCCTCTTAATCTCTGCACATCTTTCAGGATTCAAACACTATCATGTCCTCTTCTGCTCAGCCCAGCAGGAATTCACCTCTACCATTACCAGGCTTCTACAATCCCTTCTGTTTATGTATATTTTTATTGATTTTTGTGTGGATGGGGGAGAGGTTCTAAATTTCATTACAGTTCTTTCTTTACAGAAGTACATGACAGTATCCAAGGATTAGAATTCTGTGTGTGCATGTTTTATCTGCCCTACTAGACTGTGGATTTCATTGCAAGCCCAGGACATAGCACATCACTGATATAAGTTGAGTGAAAGTCAAATGAAAACAAATAGGCATCATGGACTTGGCAGTGAATCACAGGAAGCCAAACACAATTCCTTGTGAGGAAAATGGGATCCACTCTTTCCTAAAGAATGCTTATTAAGTTGTTCAGTTTTGACCTGAGAAAGTAAAGCGGTCTGACTCCTTTGTCCTTCCTTTAAAAATATAATGAATCATGCATTTATTAATCTGAATACTTTTATAAGCAAAGGTGGGGAAGCTTCTACTTTCTTCACAGTTTAGAACTTCCTTAAATGGGTCCTTAAGGGAAAGATCATACTATCCTTTATGAGAAAATATTAGACAAATATGTTTTTAATAATGTATAAATATAACTTCTCCCAACTAAAATGTATCCTCTTCAAGGATAAGAATGAGTACTAAATTTCCTTTACAAGTGTTTTCTGTGCTCCATCAGGACACAGACGTGCACACACATGCACATATACACACACTCATTCCCACAGCCTAGTGCTGAACCAAATGGTAAGTGTGCTTAACACTTCACTACTGGGAGCCCTGTGGGACTGACCCTCACTGCAGAAACACTGCAAAATCAGTCTAAAAGGGGACAATTTGGCATCAAATCTCCTACCACCATTTCTAATAACTAGGAAAGCAATAGTCATTGCCCAGTAGCACAATTCCTAGAGAGACATTTTTTGTGGCCGGTAAAATGAGCTGTCTGCACTGCCTGGAGAAAGGAGAGAGTTGGTCCCATGTTGTGGCCTGAGGGGATCAGTTGAAGCATATTGGCTTGTACTGTCTTCACCAAAGGACGCAAGCTCCAAAGGGAAAAACACAACATGAGAGATTTTGATTAAACTTGTTTCTTTGACGTTCAGCCTGGACAGATGCATTCCCTGGTGATTGACAGGGGCTGGCAGGGAGATGGAGAGGACTCAAGCAAGCCCTAGGAAATCAAAGGCTCCCTTTCTTTCTTGTCCACTTTGAGCAATCTTTCCAAACTTGCAGGAATTACCCACTAATGTTTACATCTGCCTGCAGTTCTTCCTTTGGAATTGACCCCGCAGAAGAGAGGTGGGCCTGTTGTTTTGATACAGAGCCATACACGGTTGAGCACATGAGAGACACCAAACTACAAACAGTACCAAATGTGACTGCTTTGAATGGGATGAACAGAATGGGAATGTTTGTGATGGGGGCTAGAATCCTTTGTTTATGGTAGAGCTACATTCAAATATACACTTTGAAATAAGGATTCTTGTCTAGTCACAAAAAAGAAATGACTTTCTAATTCTCAGAGACCAGATAAGTCTGTGGGAAATGCTACATTGTTCCCTAAAATATTGCTTCCTTAGTAAGAAAAGGACTAAGCATCAACCTCACAGCTAAATCTATTTGGTTAATTCCAGTCTTATCCAGGACTCACTCCCTATGCTCTATTACTGTGACTTTGCAGGGGGTGGTGGTAGTAAATGGATGTAGAGGTAGGAACAGAGTCTTCAGAACTGAGCTTGTGATCTTGAGGATGAGCATTCAAATATATCTCAGGAAAGAAGTACATGACCTAGCTTAAAAGATGTTGAGTAGATGAGTAAACAACCGAAGTTATCTATAGTCCTTTATTGTGGTTCGCCAGGACTTCGGACTCTTGTGCTTCTCTGCGCATGAGCGGCTCTCAAATGGCTTCTAAACTTGACTTTCTCTCACAAGTGGGCACAATCCCCGAACTCCCATAATATAAAATGTTGCTGTAAAACAATGGAGAGTGGGGGCATGTGGAGCTCTTGCTCCAGGTTCAATCCCCAGCAGAGAAAGTAAGAAGTAATAAGGGGCTATGTGACTGTGAAATGAGGAAATTGCCCCCAAGCTGAAAAGCCAGTTGGTAACCCGCACCCACAGCATCATAGGCCAGATTTTCTGCAGAAATCATGAAGAATAGCATTGACCAAGAGTTGAGGAAAGCCCTTAGAATCCAGGAAAGGAGTGGAACCCAGTAACCACCTATGAACAATATGGCAGCACTGGATGGACTCAATGGGTTTAAAAAATACATAAAGTAGGGAGGGAATCATGGGGGGCATTGTAGGAGGAGTTGAAAAGGAGGGAGTGGGAGTGGGCTTATTCAAAGCACATCATAAATATGTATGAAATTCTCAAAGTATACAAAAATTTTAAGAATCCAGAAGTGGGAAACTAATGAGGCAGTTTCTAGTGCTGAATAACTGGAAGTAACTGCTATGTAATTTATGCTGCTGGGATGGCACACTAGCTCTTGAGGAAGAAATGCCGCAGCTTCCTTCTGTCTCCTGCCTAGAAACTTCTCCCTACGGGGAACAACATGTAGATTCCTAGGCAAAATAAAAGCCGGCCATTGTTTCCCTCTTCTGGAAGGACCACGAGGCAGACAATGTTGGTACTGTACCTGACATTAAGGCCTTTCTGTGCTTCTTTCTGATAAGAGGCCTGCTGCTCACAGGCACACTGCCCAAAAGCAGGCCATGGGCAAAGAGGCTGGCCGAGTAAGGATTTTGCCATCAAATCCCTAGGCACAAATAGCACCATTCTGCCTTTGAAAATGAGTCCTTAGTACCATTGTAACAACAATAGAAATGTTAACAATTGGTGAATCTATAAAGCCATATGGCCAATTTCATTGTTTTCATGTACATGCAACTGTTTTAATTTCTCTAAGTGTGTGCCCATAGACATAACATGTACATATGAAACTGTACTCGATGCGACATTGTAATAGCCTCGAGTGCAACGCTGTTCTATACAATGTGGCCCTTTTCCTCAGGCTACCAAAGGCTGGCCTAGGTTTTCAAATGTCGGCAACTACCCAGGCTAAGCTCTTTAAAACTTAGTGGATTAACACTGAATTACTACACCACTACAGAATTGTTAGAGGTGAGGGTAGGAGAGCTAGACTCTGCTACTGTGTCTGAACTGTATCCTGTTTGCTTTGGGTGGAAAAGAATATAATTGTTTAACATGTTAGAAGCAAATAAAAGTGCTTAAATATTTTGCAATTTGCAACTTGAAAAGAAAACAGTAATGGGTTTCCAAGCGCATGTCTTTACTTTTAATGAACTGTTTATTCTTCTTGGTTCTATTGGCAATAAAATAAGAGCTTCACATCAAAACCCTTCAGGGGGGCACTTTCCATTTAGGGGACAGTGAGATTGCCAATAATTCTGATTTTTTTAAGTAAACTCACTAGACTGTATTTCCAGATACGGGTTATTGCCTGTTATCCCAGGTAATTATTATTTTTTGCATCTTCCTCATATAGGCAAATTACAAAATGTTATGTGCTACACTCCAAAAAGATAAAAAGAATTTAAGTGACACCAAGATCAGGGAACTCCAGAATGTTTTAATGAACATGTTTCCATTATCCTCTGTGCTTGTTCATTTTGTTGGAAGAATGATTCATTCATTTCAAATTTGGCAACTTAAACAGCAGCAAATTATAATTTTCCCATCACAATGCAAAGTCAGTTTGTTGGCCTGCTCCAGCTTTGAGGGCATGTTTGTGCCTCCTTTTCCTTTGACAACAGCACCCTCTGCTGTTGTTCTTTAACACATCACATCTAATGGAAAAGACCCAAGTTGCCAATGGAGGCCTCCCTGCAACATTACACACAGCAGGACACGATTCATAAATCAGTTTTCCACCCTAGTGATTCGTTATCAGATATATTTTTTCTATAAAATGGCATAGCTCAAGGAAGTTATCAAGAATTCAGAAGCTGCAAAAATTACCATCGTTTGATTAATAATCTAACCTTTTTCTTCTTATTGAACAAGGTTAATAATACTTGTTATCACTCAAAGTTAAACTGTATTAGTAGTTTCCAAGTGACTTTTACTTTACAAGGGCCTTGTTATCACTATATCACTGTTATTCATAGTTGATGCTGATTACTTTCCTCAGGTATGACCCAGAAGGACATCTGACCAATGCAACATTTCCTACTGGGGAGGTCAGCAGCTTCCACAGTGACCTAGAGAAGCTGACAAAAGTGGAGTTGGATACTTCCAACCGTGAAAATGTTCTCATGTCAACTAACTTGACAGCAACCAGTACAATATACATTTTAAAGCAAGGTAAGGAGCTTCGCAACTCCGCCTGCTTTAGCATCTATCCTCAAACTTGGGCACGCTATTAAGGGACAGAATTCTCCTCTGATTTAGAAGCTGCCTTCTTCCTCCTATTTCCCAGCTGAAACCCAGACAAATTCACACTTTTCACAAGTTCACATATCCACTTTGTGCCACAATTTCTGTGGGAGTAATGAGGTTAAATCCCTGCCAAGTCTGATCTCCCATCAAGTCACTTCCCAGCACCCAGCCATTTGTAAAGCTCTTTTAGGTTCTCACTAGGTTGTAGGAAGGTAATAGAGTCTGTGCCCCATCTAAGCTTAGCATTCTAGATCAGAGCTGATGTGGATGAAGAAAAAAGGGCAAATTAGAAAATAAACCGAGGAAGAATACAAGTGGAATGAGAGAATTAAAAATCCATTCTATACAGAGAGGGGGGAGTAAGGAAGAGTGAAAGAAAAAAATGAAGAAACATATAATTTCAAAAGAATGCATTAGAGGCAATAAGGGAAGTGGAGAGAGAGAAATCATTTTCACTGCCCAGTCATTAAGGAATCATTCTGCTGTTAGCTTAGGTTGTGGGGCCATTCACTCCAAGAGGAACAGCATCGACTTTTATCCATATTACCATCTCGTGGACTGACAGTGGCTATGATGATGTCCTAAGGTGGCATGGTGCTGAGCTGAATAGCATACTCTTCTCATTCTATCTCCCAGCATATCAAGCCAAGGTAGCCGATTCAACAAGTCAGAAAGGGAGTTTGTGAGGGAATGATTTAAAAAGAAAAGCAACAAACAAAATGACCAGCCTGCGGTGTTAGGCAGCAGTCTTTTATCCTGTACACAAGTTATACCCTAGCTGTGAAAATAACAAGCCCCAAATGGAAAGAGAATGTATCTGTCTGAGTGGTGATCTAGTCCAGAGTGCAATTAGGCCCTCAATTCTCCATTCTGCTCAGCCCTTTCCAAATGTGTCTCATGAATCTAAACTTCTCTCATCCTGGCTTCCCGATCTTTCCACTCTTCCTATTCTTTCTTTTTTGTTCTTCTGTCTACAGAAAATACTCAAAGTACCTATCGGGTGAGTCCAGATGGTTCACTACGTGTCACCTTTGCCAGCGGGATGGAGATCAGCCTCAGCTCAGAGCCCCATATCCTGGCAGGAGCTGTAAACCCCACCCTAGGCAAATGCAACATCTCATTACCTGGAGAGCACAATGCAAACCTCATTGAGTGGAGACAGAGAAAGGAGCAAAACAAAGGCAACATTTCAGCTTTCGAAAGGAGACTGAGGGTAAGGCCTGCCCTTTTAACAAGGGACAAAAGTTCTTGGGTTTCTGGAAAGTTCAGAGCCTCCCTAAACTGAAATCTACTTCTCCAAAGCTTTTCTAGGTGACTGAATAGATTATATAATATACTAATTCAAGAAAGGGTATAATGGCTGATAATGGTTCAGTATCCTTAAATGTGCACTCTAATATGAGATGTCTTTGCCATTAACCAGCTAAAGTGTTCTAATAGTAGCAATTTCAGGCACCAAAAAAGTCTGGCTAGAGAAATATGTTTATGTAAAAAGCCCTTCCGTATCCATCCCAGTATGCCCTTGATCCAGGATCCCACTTTTGGATAGTCCTTGGAAAGACCAAATAGACACGTACAGAAGGATGCAAGACATAAGGCAACATCTCAACAAAAGCAAGATAGGAGGGCAAGTCAACAAATGGTCCCATTACCATAAATTCATAGTAAGAGCCACAGGGGCAAAGGACTAGTTGTGAGACTGGACCGGAGTACTCAGACAGTTCTATCTAGAGGAAGGGAAGGTTTGGGGAGTTCCCAATACTTTATAAAGCACAGTTCCCTACAGTTAATCAGAGATCTCTGTCAAAAACACTTTCCTACAGCATACATACAAAGCCTGCAAACACCACCGCACCGCATCTACTTATCTTTTCTTGAGCATTAACCAATGTTAGTATGGCATGACCAACTTTCCAAACATGGTAGTACACAGTGTCTGCCTTAGAACAACTGTCAGTCTGCGGAAAGCACTCATTATCGAGGCCAGGCCTCAGAGCACCTTTATCACACTCAGGACAATGTGAATGCTTATATTTTTTCACTGCCTATGAAAAATGTTGTAAAGTGGAAGCTATAGAAACACAAGCACCAACCAACCATCCTGCAGCAGAGAGAAGCAGTCAACTCTGTCATATGGCTTCCTATAAAAAAATAATACACAAGTATGCTTGCTTTTAATCAACTCCATTGGTGACACATAAACACAGACTTTAGCTGGTGTTTTCTAAATAACAGCTACTAAGGTTGTCTAGGTGAACAAGTCAATTTCTAGGCTTCAATATATTGATCAGTCTGCATCAAACTTTTGCCAGATGGGCAACTGAATTAAGAAGTTAATTCATCCCAAAGACTCAAAGCTCTGTATGCTTATAGCAGTCAAGATTTCAGAGTTCTTCAAGAAAATATAAAATGAAAATATAGTGCTATAGAAAAGAATGAGTTCTCCACAAATGGCTTATCAACCTCATTGATTGGTCGCAGAAAAAATAATGTGCTACATAAGTCATCTTTAGTAATTTTAGCTGATAGCTTCAATGAATTATTATGAACCAAAACAGATGCAATGTGATTTGGGGACTTTTTGATTCTTTAGGATAACCCATCCTCTATAATGTGACCTTAGGATTTTCTATTTTCTGGAATAATTCACCTTGTGTACTTACATCCACATGCATAGATAATGGGAAGAATGTTTCCACTCTAATGTATAACTTATATCCCAAATTTCTCAGAAGCTAATAGCCATAACACATTGAGAAGCTCTTTAATACTGAAAACTAAAGCATTCAGTAAACACTAGCTATAATTCGATTCACATTCCATCCTGTGGTAGAGTGGAACAGATTTGAAGTCTGGATTATGAATGCAACAAATTCAAGGCCTTTTCTTCTATGTGACTTCTAATATACTCCCTGAGGTCTTTGAAATGAAGAATTGGGCTCCTTATTGGCTAGGCAGTGTGACTGTTCCAGTCCCTAGAAAAGTAATAACAGCCTTTTACATAGATTTAATGCCTCAGAGTTAACAAAATGCATTCACAGCGAGAATTTTATTTGATCACCACAACCATCAATTGTTGCTATTCCCAATTTACAGATAAAGACACCAAGGCTCCGAAAGGTTAAGTGATTTGCCCAAAGTCAAGCAGCTATTAAGGATCAGAGCCAGAGCTAAAATGCAGGTCTTTGCCTAGTACAGCAGTCTTTCCACTGCATCATGCTGTGCTGTCTTGTTCCTTAAAATAATTAATCTATAAATCACTGCCCCACTCAGTACAGCCACCTTGGCAGGGCCTGACTCCTCATTTCAATGCTGACCAAAAGAGACAAATAATCGACTCTAATGTACTCCAAGTGTGAGTGGCGCAAGACAACTGGCTGGCCTCCAGGCCTGGAAGCATGAAGGAGACAAAAGGAGAAGGAACCCATTTAACTGGTTAATTCTTACCTGCCCTCGTCATTTATAGGATCTTTATTTACACAGATGCCTCGGTTTCTCCAGACCAGATATGGCATGGAATGCATAGTGGCATGAACATGTTCCCCAAAGACAGGTGTGAATCCAAGTTTGATAGGACATACACTCCTTCTTTATCTCAGAGGAGATGCCTCTTCACTTTTGGTAGGTTTTCATAGGGTAAGCTGATGACAGCTTTCTCTTTTCCTGATGCAAATATGCAGTGACCCATTTGTATACCTGTAAAGCCTAGGCGGTATCTCTCATCCCCTCAAGAATCTAGATGCCTTAACTGAATCATTTCTCCGGCTGAAGCTGCTTCTTCAGATCATGAGCAGCTGGGATTTCAAGAGAGGCAGAGACTGCGTTTTACATAGCTACACAACATAGAAACCTTTGCCATGCTCTGAGAAACGGGACACCTCTAAAACTCCACTCCAGGGTATGCTCGTAATTTGTAAATGTGCTTGGGCAGGAGGTCATAAAACACTAATTGTCCAGGCACATAGTGACAGCTTCATTTAAAGGGCCATTTGGTAAGATGATAGACACCACATGCTCCAAAAGCTATGAATCACAGCCCCAGATTTTCTATCTGGGAAGAAAAAAAGTCAGAAACAGATAGACCCCTCTTTGAGATAAAAAACAAGAGTTATTTTCTCCAATGATCAGTGGCTTCTTTTCCTACACAGTCAAGGTGAGGGACGCAAAGTGTTCCTGCTTGTCCTAAGCAGGCCCAGGGATCTGTTAGCTCTGTGCCATCCTTCACCAGCACCATTAAGTGAAATAAATTACATTAACATCTGAAATTTCTTTTTTAAAAAAATCTATTTCCTCTAACTTGAGTTGTGTTTGAATCATCTTCCTTGTAAAGTACCTTTGTATCCGACACATGTATCTTCTAATCTGCTGTATCAATCTGTCCCCATAAATACATTTCCCTGGACAACAGAAAAATTAGAGTGCAGATAACAATAGAGGCAATCGTCAAAGAACTAGACATTCACCAAAAGCAAACAGCTGCAGGAACTACAACCACATTGCACCTTGCTGTGTCCATGGATAATAATGTCATAGGAGATTTAACCCAGTAATGGATCGCAGAGCTCCTTTTAAGATTTCACAGACTAAGTAGCAAAACCCTGGAACTGCAGCCCACTCTTAAAAAAAAAAAAAAAAAAGATAATGAAGGAAACAGTATGTAAAACCAAACTCAAAATCAAGTAGAACGATTTTTTTTAATTTACAGGCAAAAACAAGCAAAGACTAAAACCCTCACAATTGATTTTTTCTGTACTTAAAGATAACCTAAGAAGGCATGTTTGGTGAATGTGCTTGTGTGTTCTGTGAAGGTCAGAGGGCGACCTCTAGTGTTCTTTCTCAGGAGCCATCTACCTTGTTTTTTGAGACAGTTTCTCACTGGGACCTGAAACTTGCCATTGTCTAGGCTTAGTGGCATGAAAATTAAAGGCATCCTCTTGTCTCCACTTCCCCAGCCCTAAGACTGAAGACAGATGCTACTATGCCAGCTTTTTCTACACGAATGCTGGAGATCAAACTCAGGTCCTCAGATCCTTGAGCAGGAGGCACTTTACTGGCTGACCTATTTGCCCCAACCTCCAGAGGATGGTTTTTAAATGCAACATGTGAATGTTTATATGTGATCTTATATGGATAAGTCTAGCTGAAATACAGGGTCCCAAACTGACAAATGGCAGGAAATTGGAGAGTATGCCAAAGGGGTTTTAAAATTAGCCTCTGTTCTCAGAAACCACCTGACAGGGTTACCAGCTATAGGGTGCTCTGAGCTGGAGTTCTTATTTCACACCATTTTAACTTACTTCTCCTCCAGTTTTGTAGAGGCATTCATTCTGCAAAAATTTACATAAGGATCTGCTCAGTTATATGAACTTACTTTAGAAATGCACCTGTAGATTTCAGTTCCAAGCAAAGGTTTTTTTCTGCTCCCCAAGGAATCACCTGGACACAGGAGATTAACCGTAATGACAAGGAAGATTATTTGGGGGCTTACTATGTATATTGCCTTGTCTTAACTCTTTCACTATTCATAACACCTTGCCAGGTGTGGTTTTTGTAATCATTCCCATTTTACAGATGAGGAACTGAGATAAAGAAGGGCACACAGCTACTAAGTGGTGATTACAGGATTTGAACCCAGGAAGTCTAGCTCAGTAAACCTGAGCATCTCCTAAGATCTCTTTTGGCACTAAGATTCCATGGCAAAGTAAAGAGAGTGTCTTGGGAGTAATAAGGAAAAGGAGATTGTAAATGAAATATCTCAGGCTAACACTAACACTGAACATATTCCCTTTTCAGTAAATGGCAACTGTGAAATAAAAGCAGGCTTGGATAAGCTTTTGATTATCAATCTAAAGATGGCAGGTGGATCTCTGTGAATTCGAGGCCAGCCTGGTCTCCATAGCGAATCCAGGCCAGCTGGGGCTACAGGAAGACCCTGTCTCAGAAAGACCAAAAGAAAATAAAAATAAAAATAAATAAAATCTGTCAAATTCATGCACTGATTGGTCTTTCAAAGTCTAATACTGATGACCTTAAATTAGTGAGAATAGAAAACCATGTGCTACTTTAAAATTAGCTGTAACTTTTCTATCCATTCTTATAGCTTCATGAAAATGAAATGCAGTGCCTCTTCCAAACTTTGATGTTTTTTGCTTCATCCCTTATTCACCTTCTGTCTTCTCCAGCAAAAATTAAACATGTAACTAGGCTGTATTGTGACCTGAAATGCAAGACAATGTACTTGAAAATTCAACCTTCCTTTCCTTATAGAGGAAATAAAAATCAACTGTCATGATCATAGCTCAAAATTATGTGTGTGTGTTCAGTTGAAACATAGCAAAGGTCCCTTTGTTTAGGCCACAGCAATTAAATATCCCTTATTGTCTGTAGATCAACCTTCTGCAGCATTGCCCTACCAACTGAATAGTATGTAGGAAGGCTTGGGAGGAAACTTTCCCTTGACCAATTATAACACAAACTCTTAAGAAAAGCATGAAGGAGAGGCAGGGCACAGTTGCCTTTGGAACCCCCCCCACACACACACACCCTTCTTAGGGCCTTCCAGTTGGTCTATTCTCCCTTCTTTCCTCTCTGGTTCAATTGTAAACAAAAATCAAGACCTTTTCTGTACTATAGCTGAGAAAAGGAAACCCTAATGAAACCCAAAAGATAAATTACAGCATAAATATATCTTCTATTTAAAAAATTAACATGCTCATCTTCATTACCACAACACAATATTCAAGAGTTGCCAAACTCAAAGGCCTTGTTCAAAGTACAACTATTCAAAAGGCGCCCTTTGTAACCTAGAGCTAGTCTCTCTCTATCTCTCTTTTCCAGAAGGGAATTAGTGTAGATTGTTTGGACATACAGTAGAAGTAAGGATTGTTAGCCCACACTTAGGTCAAAAGCTATTGCCTTTGAGAAAAGCAAGCATGTGTATGAATATGGATTTTCCCAACCTTGCCCATGACCCCAGCAGTCAGTGGCATTCAGCTTAGTTCTGATGCCTGCCTTAGAGGCCAGGGGCACATAGGTACTCCCAACAGGGGATGAGAACGCTTACCTGAAAGATCATTCGCCTTCCCAGTGTTCTTATGTGTGCTTTCCAAAGGAGAATGAGTACTAGAAACCTACAGCATCTCTGACTCCATCTGTATCAGTCTTTGCTGAATTTAACTTCCAAACCTGACTTTGAAACCAGTGTTTTGAAATCATTGGGATATCACTGTGCATTATTATGAAACAGACAAACACTATTTGAGAAGTTCTGACAGGCCTAGAAAAGGCATTAGACAGAGTCCTCCTCTGGTGGCTTCACAGTGAATTTTCAATACCGATGCCTGCCTTTGGTAATGACTTTAAGAAATGAAGTAAACATCTATCAGACAAATAATAAAACAACAAAGTTAGCTTAACTAATAATTACTTGTTATTTTGGCTCTTTATCATAACACAAATTATAACAGCTACAATCATCTCTAGGAGTATATGGGTATTGTACAGCTATCATAAATGAACGGTATTACAGTTGGAGATATGTGGCTATAAAACCACAGGAAAAGTAGTTGAAGAAAGAACACCTGGGTTCCTAGTGGCTTCCAAGTCCCAAGTATCAAAAGACAGGAAATATGCGCTTTCCTGTCATCTTTTAGGTCATCACAGGAGGCTACTATATATTTATGCAATACAACGTTGCACACATTTGCTAAACACAGCTTTAAAAACTCATGATTCCCAATCTGTAGCTCTCCTACCTGAATTAAACCTAGCCCCAGAGATTAAGAGCAGCTTTACAAAATAATTTGACTATCTAATCACTGCTCATCTGGATAGAATTCATGGCATGGAAAGTTTGCTGGGTCCTTTTTTGCAGAAGCTCAAAATTAAAGGCAAATATCATTACTTCAACTGAGTGATGAAGAAAGTGAAATCAAAGGAGGTTTAAAAAGTCAGCCTCGGCATGCCTGTAGAAAAATGGGCAAATATCACAAGGACACAATTCATGGAAGACATACATGTGGTCAATACTGGTTCAAAAAACGGTTCAACCTTGAGCTTACTACCAATCAGATAAATGCAAATTTCACAGCAATATATCATTTTCCCACTCTGATATTCAGAAAGTTTAACTCACAGTGTTAGTAAGGATAAGATGAGATGAGCTCTTCCACTATTACACAATGGGATTATGAGTTAATACATTTTATGTACAATTCAATAATCTCTCGAATCATATCAGGAGTCTTTTAATATGTTCTTCCCATTTGAATCAGTAATTTTACCTACAAAGTTCTATGTTGAGGAAACATTTATTAATTTAGTAAACACTAACTCTAATTTCCAATCATGGGAAAATGGAGACACAGAGGTTTACTTAGTGTAGTAAGATAGCATACAATCTTTGAAACCCATATATTAAAAATATTTATCAATATGAGGAATTCTAGCAATAAAACATTGACAGAAAAAGTAGGACAAAAAACGTTAAGTCCAATTCTAGTTATATGTTTTAAATATCTGAAAACGAGTATGCCCCCAAAGAAAGACAAATAGAAAGAAATGTAGAAAAACTTTAATAGAAATTCTCGTTGGAGAGTGTACTCACAGACTATTATTTCCCCTGTACATTTCTATATTATCCAATGTGTCTTCAGTTAAAAAAAATAGTTAGCACCTTTCATACTCAGGGAACTGGCATGAAGGAAATCATTTTTAAGAAACAAAATGTGTGGGATTACTGAGCAAGGGAAGACCAGATTCTGATAGGAGTGCAGACTTTGCAGTCATCCAGGCCACTAAGATTAAAAAAAAAAAAATCGAAATAAGATTGGGAACTTGGATCCCTGAGAAGCCCTAGAGGTTTCATGTTTGGTTTCAGGAGCGTTCATTAGTCAGGTGATATGATATCCCAATGTTCATATATGTGCTTATGAATGTTTTCTGGGGGCACAGTTTACAGCTTTCGGGTTAATGGGTTCTTAACCACCAAAGTTAAAAGTAAAGATAGTTTAGTTGACTAATTGATGGATCCATTTAGTCTGACTGTATTAAAAGAGTCAAACTAATGTAGGATTTTTGTTGTTTTATTCACTCACAGCTCATTAATCAGACATTTAACATTCTTTTCCAGATCATACGTGACTTTTTTTCAGATTATATGTAACAGTTCTTGCACACATAAATATTGCACACCAATCTTAAATTACCATGGCATTTGACTCATGAGTCTATTCACAGGTCCAAGTAAAATGAGAAAAGCAATCATTTATTATATATTTTAAAAATAGCAACTACTAATGTTTCCAGTTTTCCAAGAACCTGTACACAGGATCCGTCTTATATCTTAGCAAAACTCTTCAGAATAAATTAGTACTAAAATCCCATGGCAGTAAAACTAAGGGCCAAGAAGAGAAACGACTGGTACATAAATAAACATGTAACTGAGCATCTCCTGACTCCGCTTCACTCTTACATTTTTCAGTTTTCCCTTTTCATTATTCTTTATTTTTTCTTTACTACCAGATGTGCCTGGACCATCGCCACCCAGATCACAAGACTTTTCCCTGAAATTTCGGTGAAAAGTACACCATGACCACCATTTTTTCAACTTCCTATGTCAAACTATTTCAAAATAAAAGGCTATCATACTTATAATAAAACAAAATACCTATTAAAACTCAAACTTAACCAAAGTAAGCTAAATAAATAAATTCAGTAAATTTTGAAAGCTTCCCTAACACTTCTTGCATACTTCTTTCAGCAGCAGCAGCCCCTTTTCTAAGAGCGTACTGATTGTCAGTCTGAACAGAGAAAAGTTTCCGTACCATGTTTTCTCAATGGCTGTGCCATAATCAGCAAGTTCTAGCAGAAATTACAGGCCACTCTGGCAAACACTGATATTACTAGCTGAAAAATGGAAAAAAATTAGGTCAGTTGGAAACCCAATGAGTCTTTTTGCTTAGTTTTAATTTTTTCAGTAAGTCATTTAGTTATTTGGGTAGCTCATGTGAGCCTAGCTGAACATCATCAGAGCCAGGCACCATTGGGTGCTGTTGTTCACAGATTCCTATTCAGTGTCCCTTGAAGGAGGCTTATTCTGCGTCAACTCCAAGGCTTCAAGGTGCCCAGAGCAAAGATGAGCATGCAATAGGAAAAGCCTGCAACCAGAATCAAGCCAAACAAACTCTAGTTGTTTCTCACCTTGGAATCCAAATTTAACACTGTGCTTTAACCAATTGATTGTATCACACTTGCACATGCACCTATCCATGCCACCATGTTTATTTGCTGGTCTCCATAGAAATACAGTTGAGTGGGGTTCCCTCACCAGATAATGAGTTCCTTTGTGCTGTGAAGTTCACTGAGCCCAGATAAACAAGGAAACCAAAGGCAGCAATCCATTCACTGTGGTTTTTTTTCTGAATTCTAACTCCACATGTTCTAGACACTTAATTGTTTACAGTGAGAGAAACAAGTCAGGAAGCCCCATTCTTCTCACATCTACCTCACATCTCACTCCCATAAAATAAGATCGCATAATTATTGAAAATTGTGGTGGCTTGCTTGGGTCTTCAGTTGGAGAAAAACAATCAGTCATATACTGAAGGTGAAGAATATGCCAGGCATGTTCCCAGGAATTAAGACATAGCCTTGGGCCTCGAGGAGTATGCACTCTGGTGTTGAAATAAAGATAATTAGCAGATGAGGAATATAAAGCCATGAAGATTCAGAGGTGAGAGAGTCTCCCCCTTTTGAGAATCCAGAAAAACTTCAAGATTATGGATGCACTATTTTGGAAATCAAAGCAATACCTAAAATATTTCATCTCTCTTTTTGTAGGCCCATAACAGAAACCTACTCTCCATAGATTTTGATCATATAACCCGCACGGGAAAGATCTACGATGACCATCGAAAATTCACCCTTAGAATTCTTTATGACCAAACTGGTCGACCTATTCTGTGGTCACCTGTAAGCAGATATAATGAAGTGAACATCACATATTCACCTTCGGGATTAGTCACATTTATTCAAAGAGGAACATGGAATGAAAAGATGGAATATGACCAGAGTGGAAAAATAATTTCAAGAACTTGGGCTGATGGGAAAATTTGGAGCTATACCTACTTAGAAAAGGTAAGTACGTGTATGGGAAAATGAACATATCGAAAGTGGCCCTAAGTACCCAATTTCATGAGAACCTACAGAAGAAAAGTCCATGTTTTCACTGTAGAAGGAACCAAAACCACCGAGAACCTTGAAGTATCAGCTGTATTTCAGCTGAAGACATCTCTGGCCCCACCCTCTGCCAACTGCTCTTTCAAACTGAAGTCAGGATAATGGCTTCACTTTCTCCTTATTTGAGCTTATTTGTTCATGCCCTTGAAAAGGTATCTTTATTATTATGGAAGCTCATACTGAGGGGAAAATGGCTAGAAAATTCTAAAACTGTGTGTTAATGTATCTCAGCTCTGGTAAAAAGCCTCTTAGCCAACAGATAAGAAATTACAAATTTTCTTAGCAGGGAAATATGAGTTGTGCACATTTGAGGACTAATTCACAAAAGTAATCAGCCTGCAGTAACAGTGGCAAGGAGGCCTCTTTGGTAATAGTCTTTCATGTGTGCTGAGTCTCCGGTAGCATATGTAGTGGGAGCTTCTGCCCTCTGTATGGAATAAAAGGATTTTAATCCCACCACACATGTCATTTGTCAAACATTAGCCCTTACACAGCAAACTTGTTTCTGCTCATTACCAATGGACAATCAGAATAAACATGCTCTGCCTTCTCCATTCCTTATCTCCTCCTAAAACAATGAATCTTGTCTCCCACATTTAGGCATTTCAACTGAATTTGGCAGTCTTGGATTCATTCCTAAAAAAATTAAAAGACACTTTCCCCTGAAAAATCCCAAGGTAACCAGTGCAAGGTTACCACAGGAGTGTTAGAAAAATCACAAGAACCAGCATTGTATATGGCACAATGAAATGATTTGTGCATCTCTGATACAACCCTTGAAGTTTAAGTAGTGTGTCAGTGGCTTTACGTCATTATACAGCTATTTTGTTAATTCCCAGAGTCAGTTGCTGAAGAATTTACCAACTTGGACATGCCTAGGAGATAAAGCACAATTCAGTTGGGAGCAAAAGTCAGAGGAGGACGCCGTTTGCTACACCCACCCTAGGTCCTTTCCTTCTAGAAAAGCTTATAGAATCTATAATCTGTACCCTACCCAGGAAAATCGGGATCTCACAGAGCAAGTACTCCCTCTGTTGAATTTCTATAACAAGAAAGATTGGCAGAATCATGTGGCTATGGTCTACAAAGCATCTAAAATACTAAAACATTAATTGAATACAAATACTAATGGCATCTGTACATAAGCAAAGTGTTTCTTAAGGCATATACTATGACTTTCCTATAAAAGTACCACTATTAACAGAGTATTGGCTGTATTAGTTTTCCAAGAATTAGGATATAGCAAGCTCTGTTCCTTGTGCAGATCCTCTATGTGACTTGGGAAGTAGCCAACAGTCCTTAGGGGCATATAGGACTTTAAACCCTTAATCCTAGCCATAAGAGCACCAAAGTGTGACCAGTTTTCTATTTGCCTACAGACAATAACATCCAGACCCCCTAGGACTTTGTCTTTTATGCCGTCTGTATGATAACAAAAGAAGCTACAGAAAGCTCAAAAATCAGCCCTTAATATAGTCTTCCCTGACATCAAGAGGCTTCTGTTTTCTGTAGCTGTAAATTTCATCGAATTTACTTCTGGAACCAGGCAAAGCAAACCTCACATGAATAATCTGTATAAAATTTAGTGGGCAATAGTTGAAAGAAAGAAAGAAAGAAAGAAAGAAAGAAAGAAAGAAAGAAAGGAAGGAAGGAAGGAAGGAAGGAAGGAAGGAAGGAAGGAAGGAAGGAAGGAAGGAAGGAAGGAGAGAGAGAAAGGGAAAAAAGAAAGAAAAGGCCCATGATAACACATCCTGTATTTCCAACCTCTGCAAGGTTGAAACAAGGAGTTCAAGGCCCTTGTTATCCTTTTCTCAAAAACAGACAAACAAAAAAAGGAACAAAAATATAAATCCGACCTTACAGACCTAAAATAATTATGATGGACAACTCCTGTGACTTCTGAAGACAAGTTTACTGATCAGTGAAACATGCCAAGTGATTTGGCCTTTCAGTTAACTTTTGTATATTTCTGTATTTCATGTGTAATTTAGTTTCTAACTAGGTGGATAGCCACTTATTCAAACAGTTCTATTGCACAAAACTCAGAACCTACAACATACTTATGGAATGGTTTCTTATTTAAAATTAGTTGTATTCACAAGATTTTAAGCATGTCATCCATGTTCTTGCCGTATTTTCATAATGCGTTGTGAAACTGATTTTACCATTATTATCACCAGTGATAAAACCAAATTCACAGAAAAAATGCAAGGTGTAAGTGAAATAACCTAATATAAAGCACAAAAAGAGTTACTTCCAGTTGAAGGCACATCAGAATACGGAAGAACAAAAGGAAAAGAAGGAGGCAGAAAGAGGAAAGGAAAGAAAAAAGCTTCTGGAAAAATAGGGTAAAAAGATTTAATTTGCGAGTGACCTTTTGAGTGACCTGAATCTTGGGCTCCTATGTTCTTTCTCATTTTACTTCAGCATGGACTTTGCTACCACATCCTTTCAATACGAAAGGGGAAGATCAGGGACAAAGAGAATGCTTCTCTTTTTTGCAAATATTTTATTTATTTTTATTTTATGTGTATGAACATTTTGCCTGCATGTATGTAAGTGCACCAGTGCAATGTAATGCCTGCAGAGGCCAGAAGACTATGTCAGATCCCCCGGAACTGGAGTTCCTGATGGTTGTTGACCTCCATGTGGGTGCTGGGAAGTAAACCCAGGTTCTCTAGAAGAGCAGCCTGTGCTCTTAACCACTGAGCCATCTCTCCAGCCTCTCCGTCATATAGTATGTTTTAAAGAATTTTCAAACTTTAAAATGTATTTTTGTTCTCCACAAAATACTGCTAAATTTCTTTGCTATGCCTACATCATGATATATTAAAATTCAGCATCACATGTTTTTACCTTCATATACATAATTTTGTAAAAATAGTTTGACTTCTTCTAGAGTAAGCAAAACCTACGCATATCATCTCCAGAGACAGTGCTTTTTGGCCATTAAGAGAAAAATAATTATTCGGGTAATGGCTGTGGTTGCTTAAGTAGTCTCTTCTCTATTAAAAAAAATCAATTATTATTTCTTAAATTTTCTCTATGTACTCATTAATTCTCTGCTTAGATTTATGCCACTTCTCTGAGTTAATTATATTTTGAAGACTGGTTTAGCTAAAATTTTGTATTATATCAAATGTAAATCTTTCTGTTTCCTAAAATCACTTTTAAGAACTTAATTTTAAAATGCACTTAAAAATATTTTATAATCTTCTAATAAGATGCTTTAGTTTTACACATTAACACACGCTTGCCTGTTTGGAGCTGTTTGCAAAGGCTGCCTTCAGGGACAGAATGCAGTTTTAGCTTGAGCGCCCAGGTGACACCACAGTGCCATCTGGTGGCCATTTAAACGCTATACCTTTTCAAATTGCTGCTCTCATTTCTATTCTCGTTCCGGTAAGCATACAGCCATAATTGTTCTCTTTATTTTTCTTTACAAAGATCTCTTTTACCATATAATAATCAATTAAAAGACTAAAACCCTCCCAGTCTATTATGTGGACTAATAGGAACGACTTTTTATCCTGTAGCAGCACAGTGGACATTGGAGAGACTCACAACATTGTTTTGGAACAAACTGATAATAATGCCCACCCAAAGTGAAAAGGCAGCCAAACAGAACTAAGTGATATTGCGGCAGCAAAACAGTTGCATTCTAGAGATTTTTAATCATGTCATTCACATTCTTGCCATTAGCAGGAAGCTTTAAAACAGACTGGGGAGTTTTCAAGACAATTCAGAGTCAGCACTATCTAGAAACAGGGTTCGGTCAGTGGTTTGCGGCAGGGTCGAAGAACAGAAGAGAGGAAGAAATGCTATAGCAATATGCTGTAATTTTTGGGCAAAGCCACTTCAGTGACTAGAAAAGGTGGGATGATACAGAAGCAGGATAACACTAGATAATGTGAAAGCCATATGGTGGTTGTCTCGGGCCCACATCACAACTGTCAGATGTCATTTATTCTTGGCAAACTGACAGAAGATAGCAGAAAGAAACTGGGGAGTCAGACTTTCAGAGTGGAAATAGCATAAAGGTATTTGCTCTGTGTAAGCCTCACTGCTGCATTTACCCGCCCACCTCAGTGCTCTATCACCTGCTGTTTCATTCCTAGGAACAATTCTTTCTGGTTCTCTGGTGTTTTGGCTTCATGGAGGAGAGTGGTCCTCCCTTCCAGTCCCCAGGCCCACACAGTATTTCCAGGTCTCATGCCTTTTGTTTAGAAATATTTTCAGAGTTCACAATGGTAGAATTACAGGGACATCCACAGGTGACGATTTAACAGGATTTGTCCATTCATTCCTGAATCTCCAGGCATATCGTTGGTGGAAAAGAAAGAATGAAAAAGTAAGCAAGCATCCACTGACTGACTTCATGGTATTGACATAAAACTGAAAAGCCATCATTCTCAGAAGTGTACGTGTGTTCAAAACACACATACAATATTAAAATATAATTTTTTCATTTAAAATGCATATTACATGTTATATAATTAACACTCAGAAGTGTTTGTGTAATTTACTTGTAGAAAATGAAAAGCTACCTATTGGTTTTACAACATAAAATTCATAAAATAAAGTTGAACTAAAAGTTTTTGTTTGATAAGGTAATTCTCAATATGGTAAAACTCTCTTAAGGACTTATATTAATTTTTATTTTTATTAAAAGATGAGCATTAAGGGGCTGGGGAGATACTTGGCAGGTTAGAGTACTTGCTATGCAAACATGAGGACTTGAGTTCAAATCCCCATCCTACACATAAAAAGCTAGGCATGGCCATACATGTGCCTATAACTCCAGTGCTGTTGGGCAGAGACAGGAGGATTGTTGGGAGCCTTGCTGGCCACCAGCTTAGCTCCAGGTTCAGTGAAAGACCCTATCACAGTAAAATAAGGCTGAGAATGATAGAGCAGGATACCCCATGCCCTCCACTGGTACACACACACACACACACACACACACACACACACACACACACACACCATACATATACACAAACGCACATAGACAGAAAGTAAGTAATTCTTTTAAAAATGAGAATTACATGCCAGTTAATTAGAATCCTCCCTAAAACAGTGCTTCTTAAAAATATTTTATTTTTTAATGTGTATGAGTGTATTGCCTGCATGTATGTAAGTGCACAGGTGTCATGCAATGCCCACAGAGGTCAGAAGAAGGCATTGAATCATTTGGAACTGGAGTTAAGGATGGTTATTAGCTGCCACAAGGGTGCTGGGAAACAAACCTGGGTCCTATACAAGAGCAGCAAGTGCTCTTAACTACTGAGCCATTTTTCCAGTCCCAACAATACTTCTTTATGTTGCTATAAATTTATATTTATTGTATTTTATTATACTACTACGGATTGAACCTAGAGCCTTGTGCATGCTAGTCATGCACTCTACCACTGAGCAATTCAAAAGTAATTTAGTTTGGGACAGGGTCTTTCTTTGTAGCTCAGGTTGGCCTTGAACTTGTGACCCTTCTGCCCTCAGCCTCCTGAGTACTTGGGATTATAGGTCTGTGCTATCAGGCCATTAATATTCAAAATTATAATAATAATATATTTTGACGTACAACTGTTCCCCCCCAAAATGTATCTATTTTGCAGAAAAACATTGTATAACCAAAGAATTGTTCACTTTGAATACCTTGCTCCCTTAATACCAAAACATGAGTCAAATCAAAACATGAATAGCTAAAACATGAATTGCAAAACATGTATAATAACATTCAATGTGCAGCTTTTCAGGAAGACATCTACTATGTGAAATCAACATTTCAGTGGCTAAAAGTTAATGTGTGACATGCCCTGTCCTCACTTCATCTCGTTCCAATCCATCTCCACAATGAAACAAGAGTGACCTTTCTAAAATATCAACTTGACTGTTTCTCCCAACTCTTCAAGTGCCCTGTCCTTCAACTTGCTTTAAACTTCACAGTGGATCCCCTTTGACATGCTTATGTCCAAACCCCTGAAAAACCCACAGCATGATCTAGATTCAGCTGCATTCTTACCATTCACTACCATTTCCCCGACACCATGCGTCTTCTAGCCACACAAAGTTCCTCTCATTCTCTGTAAAAAGCCATAGCCATAGGCTTATTTCAGCATCAGATGCTCCTAATGCAGTACCCTTTTCCAGAAGTACTCTCTCCTCACACAGAACACATTTCTTGTCCCTGCCTGGCCAAACCCTAGTCATCGCGTAGGTAGGTCCCGCCTTGAATGTTGCTTTCTCTAGGATTTCGCTGGTCAGAAGTCTGGGAGAACCATTTTTCATCTACTTGTCATGAGCACTTTATACTAATCCTATCATAACTCTCTCACATTATATTGTAATTGCTTGGTACTTGTCTTCCTCCTCCACTGCACTCTAAGTTCCATGAAGATAGACGCCATTGTTGTATACTACTGTGTTCACTAGGATCTACCACAGTGCCTGGCACATAGTAAATTCTTGATAAATTTGTGGCAAATGGATGAAGGTGTGTTTTGTTTAATCACCTAAACTTTAGTGGTACAATTAAGATATTTGTTTTTGTCTCATTTCAGTCTGTGATGCTTCTCTTACATAGCCAGCGGCGTTACATCTTTGAGTATGACCAATCAGATTGTCTGCTGTCTGTCACCATGCCTAGCATGGTGCGCCACAGTTTACAAAGCATGCTTTCGGTGGGCTACTACCGGAATATCTACACTCCACCAGACAGTAGCACTTCTTTTATCCAAGACTATAGTCGAGATGGCCGGCTGCTTCAGACACTACATCTGGGGACCGGGCGCAGAGTTTTATACAAGTACACAAAGCAAGCAAGACTTTCTGAGATTCTCTATGACACTACCCAGGTCACATTAACATATGAAGAGTCTTCTGGAGTGATTAAGACAATACACCTCATGCATGACGGATTCATCTGCACAATCAGATACAGGCAAACAGGTTTGTTATGAAATGGGCTAATAGTGTACATCAGCATCCATATTCTTTTCTAACCACATTCATAACAAGTGTTAATCTCTGCACTTGCATTTGTTTCAACAAATTTTTGTTTACTTATCCTATTATTTTCCTATCTAAACTTAAAACGTGATACAGTCTAACTGAAAGCTGGTTTCTTAAAAATATAAAGTGCATTTCTATCTCTCAGCTTACAAAAAGTTACAACTTCAGTACTTAGTTTTTATTCACCTCTGTATCTTCCCAAAGATGCATGTGCAAGAAATGAATCTCTGAAACTAGCTCAAGCCCTGTGTAAATTCTGTAAGCCTCAGTTGATGACAAAAGAAAGAACTTAGGGATTTAGTTCATCTATTGGGTTCATAACATGCCCAAGTGCAGTCACTTGAATGTTGGACAATGTAAAAACCTGACTGCCTGACATTGTAGCAAATGTTAAATAAAATTGAAGCATTTTTGCCAATGATGATAGCAAGAAAGCATGTGCATAATATCAGCTTCTTTCCTTGGTTTCCTTAATGGGTTGTTACTTCTATAATCTCTATAATTACATTCTTCTGTAATTATGCCATGCAGCATTTTTCTATATCACCAAAGGAACACACACACACACACACATACACATTGAAGGAGTGAGACTTCAAACATCAGAGCCAAATCTATATTATTTATTTTGCATGTGAAAGTATCAATACTTAATAAAACTTCTCTGATAGTTTGTGGTTTATCACCTAACCTTTTTCTCATTATATTTGATTCTTACAGGCCCTCTTATTGGTCGCCAGATCTTCAGATTCAGTGAAGAAGGTCTTGTGAATGCACGGTTTGACTACAGTTACAACAACTTCCGTGTCACAAGCATGCAAGCTGTGATCAATGAGACTCCTTTACCCATAGATCTGTACCGATATGTTGATGTCTCTGGTAGAACAGAACAGTTTGGAAAATTCAGTGTAATTAATTATGATTTAAATCAGGTCATAACTACAACAGTGATGAAGCACACTAAGATCTTCAATGCCAATGGACAAGTCATTGAAGTCCAATATGAGATCCTAAAGGCAATTGCATACTGGATGACTATTCAGTATGATAATATGGGCCGTATGGTCATATGTGACATAAGGGTAGGAGTAGATGCCAATATCACAAGGTACTTCTATGAATATGATGCTGATGGGCAACTTCAAACTGTTTCTGTGAATGACAAAACCCAGTGGCGTTATAGTTATGATCTGAATGGAAACATCAACCTCTTGAGCCATGGGAATAGTGCCCGTCTTACTCCACTCCGCTATGACCTCCGAGACCGTATCACCAGGCTAGGAGAAATTCAGTATAAAATGGATGAAGATGGCTTTCTGAGACAGAGGGGAAATGACATATTTGAGTATAATTCTAATGGCTTGCTGCAGAAAGCCTACAATAGGGTTTCTGGCTGGACTGTACAGTATTACTACGATGGGCTTGGGCGACGCGTTGCCAGTAAGTCCAGCCTAGGGCAGCATCTCCAGTTCTTTTATGCAGACCTTGCCAACCCTATAAGAGTTACTCATCTGTACAACCATACGAGCTCAGAGATTACATCTCTCTATTATGATCTCCAAGGTCACCTTATTGCCATGGAGTTAAGCAGTGGTGAAGAATATTATGTAGCCTGTGATAATTCAGGTACCCCACTAGCTGTGTTCAGCAGTCGAGGTCAGGTCATAAAAGAGATATTGTACACGCCTTATGGTGATATCTATCATGATACTTACCCTGACTTTCAGGTCATCATTGGTTTTCATGGAGGACTCTATGATTTCCTTACTAAATTAGTGCACCTAGGGCAAAGGGATTATGATGTTGTTGCTGGTAGATGGACAACGCCTAATCATCACATATGGAAGCAGTTGAATCTTCTTCCTAAACCATTCAACCTCTACTCCTTTGAAAATAACTACCCAGTTGGCAAAATTCAAGATGTTGCAAAGTATACCACAGGTATTTACATGGAATGAAATTAAGCTAAACTTGAACTCAGTACTGTCTGTTTTGTCACATAATCTCAAAGCCTTTGTACGTTCCCTCTTCATGTCACAAGTTATTGGGCATTCACCCTCTTCATTTTCTAGAGAGAGAAGATCATGTTTTCATCAAATATAATACTTTTGCATCCTATCCCATTTTCCTTTCCCTTTAAGCTGTTTCTCTGCTTCTTTCTTGAAAACTTACCAAAGTGATTTCATTAAAAAAAAAAACTCAGGGACTGGAGAGATGATTCAGTGGTTAAGAGCACTGGTAGCTTTTGCAGAGGACCTGGATTCAATTCCCAGCACCCATATGGCAGCTAACAACCACCAAAAACTCCAGTTCTAGGGACTCCAATGCACTCTTCTGATCTCTATGGGCACATGGGCATTTCATGACATGGGTGTGCTTACATACATGCAAGAAATACACTCATACACATAATAAAATAATAGGTACCACGTTATGAGTTTCAATGCCATGAACTGAGCCTATTCCTGAGATTATGAACAAGGCAATAGATTTCTAGATAGTAGGGAAAGATCATGTGTTTTAGAGTGAGTCAAATAAAGGAGGATGGTTATACTACTTTCCCACTAAGGTAGGATCATATCTCTCAAGTCTGAATAAGGTTTTTGAGCGTCTTTTTTTCTTTTCAATTTTGTATACCACAGACATTGGCAGTTGGTTGGAGCTGTTTGGTTTCCAGTTACACAATGTACTCCCTGGATTTCCCAAACCAGAATTAGAAAACTTGGAATTAACTTATGAGCTTCTCCAGCTTCAGACAAAAACTCAAGAGTGGGATCCTGGAAAGGTTAGTCAAAAAATTGGAGGCGAAGGAGAAAAAAAAATATAGATGCCCATCTAATACAAACAGTTTTGATATTTGCTTATTTCTCTGGGGACTTTTTGAATATTGACTAAAATGTGCATGATTTTTGAGGAGGCTTCCATGAAGAGATGACCGGGAAACTGCAGCTTTGAGAAAAGGAAAGACTAACAGATTACTTCCTGCCTGCAACAATAGACAAATAATAGCAAGGAGGAATTAAACTTTTAAAATTCTGAAATGGACTAGCAAAGGCAATAATGGATTCTATACAGAGAAAATGGTTCACTAAGAGACATGAAAGCATTAGATTTCAAACTGTCAGAAAATTTAGGGGATGTTGCCTTAAGAACAAGAAAATAGCAGAATAAAGCTATTCTGATAAAGAAAAAGTGTGGAAGCATAGTAAACAAAGATTTTAAATTTTACAGGGATAAAGTCTCTGGGAAACAAAAATTACTAAAACATCCAAGATGTAGCAGATGATTTCAGGAGGAATTAGAGGTACAAAGAGAAAGGAAAAAGAAATAAGAGAAATACATGCTTGTAAAATGGCAAACAAAAGGAAACTGCAGTTTGGGTAGGAACACCTGACATTTAAATAAAAAATGTAAAAGAAGAGAAATTCTAAATAGACATTCTAGACTTATATAACATATTTTCAATTTTTATGACTACAGGTTCTTTTCAAAAAAATTATCAAAATGTAAAATAAGACTATAAAAATGTTAATATTAGTGGATACTGAGAGTCATTAGTCTTTTCTCTTTATTTCTTATCATGTTCAAAACTTGCCAAATAAGAAGTGTGATTTTTAAGTACACATAAAAGAATCAGCATATGTCTTGCAGTTTTTGAAAGTTATTTATAATGTCATAAGTGGTTGGAAGAAGGAGTCATGCTTTATGAATTTTAATACCTTGCTGTGCCTAATGTATCACTCTACATGCAGTAATAACATCTAGTCAGTGTCAATTAAATCAGTTAATATAAGATCTGCTTTCTAAGGGAGCTTGACCTATTTACAGGTTCTTCTGCCCCTTTCCCTCCTAAGCTCAGAGAACATCATGGAAGAGGGGGCAGAAAGATTTTAAGAGGCAGTGGTCAAGGGAGGACTACTGCAAAACAACATCTTCTGAACATTCTAGGCAGTTGCACTCATGAACAATCAACAGCCCTGATTGCCTACACACAAAATCTGCATAAGAGCAATATAGTCAATATTTCAGCATGAGTTGGGGGAGGGGGGCGCAGAACCTCACAAAGCCCAAGAATTAGTTGAGAAGCTGGGCAGCCAGTGGCTGCTGAGGGAGAGAAAACTTGGTTTCCTTCAGAGGTGGGGCCCTTGGTAGGCTGCCCACACTAGAGTGGACAGCCCTACACCCACTGCATGTGGGCAACACTAATTGGTCACAATAAGTTTTGTTCCAACTTTATGGACATGAAACAGGGGGAAGGGGCCAGAAGATATTGACATGGGTACTGAGGGGTGGATTTGATCAGAATAAAGTGTATTCGTTTTGAAGAGGAAAATATTTTTTTGTTTGCCACAAGAAGGCAATGAAAAGAAAATGTAAAAAATTCCTTCTAGGTATGAATTTCTGATATACCAGGTTTAAACATATTTTCTTACACACAACCAAAACAATATGTAACAGTACTGAGAAATCAGTCACCTGTTGCCCTTACCTTTTCCCAATCTTGATGTAGAGATTCAAGTTTGGTCGTTTGGTCTTGCTTTTTTTTTTTTTTTTTTTTTTTTTTTTTTTTTTTAAGAGTCACCCTGTAGTCCCAGCTAGCCTGGATTCACTATGGAGACCAGGCTGGCCTTGAACTCGCAGAGATCCACCTGCCTCTGCCTTCCCAGTGCTGGGATTAAAGATGTGCAGCCACCATGCTGGGCTGGTCTTGCTTTTTAAATAATGACTGTGATAACTTAGGGAAGAAAGCATCCTTACCATCCTTTCATTTCGATAACCACCATGCATACAGCTGGTGTCTAACCCTGAGCTGCATTTTCCCTGTGCTTTCTTCTCTCTTAGACCATCCTGGGTATACAGTGTGAGCTCCAGAAACAGCTCAGGAATTTCATTTCCTTGGATCAACTTCCTATGACTCCCAGATACCATGAGGGGCGGTGTCTTGAAGGAGGGAAACAACCAAGGTTTGCTGCTGTCCCTTCAGTCTTTGGAAAAGGTATAAAATTTGCCATCAAGGATGGCATAGTGACAGCTGATATTATAGGAGTAGCCAATGAAGATAGCAGGCGGCTTGCTGCCATTCTCAATAATGCTCACTACCTGGAAAACCTGCATTTTACCATAGAGGGGAGGGACACTCACTACTTCATTAAGCTTGGATCTCTGGAGGAAGACCTAGTGCTCATTGGTAACACTGGGGGGAGGCGGATTCTGGAAAATGGTGTCAATGTCACTGTGTCCCAGATGACATCAGTGTTAAATGGGAGGACTAGACGGTTTGCAGATATTCAGCTGCAGCATGGAGCCCTGTGCTTCAACATCCGGTATGGGACAACTGTGGAAGAGGAAAAGAACCACGTATTGGAGATTGCCAGACAGCGTGCTGTGGCCCAAGCCTGGACTAAGGAACAGAGAAGGCTGCAAGAAGGGGAGGAAGGGATTCGGGCATGGACAGAGGGTGAAAAGCAGCAGCTTTTGAGCAGTGGGAGGGTACAAGGTTATGATGGGTATTTTGTTTTGTCTGTTGAGCAGTATTTAGAACTTTCTGACAGTGCCAACAATATTCACTTTATGAGACAGAGCGAAATAGGCAGGAGGTAACAAAAAAAATCACTGCCTTTGCGTCACCAAAGACTGCCTGTTTTTAAAACAAAAAAAAAATGGTTTATTGTATTGGTTTTCTAGATCAGAACTCTGTATATGTAAATATGGAGGAAACATATCCAACTGCCTTTCAATGTGACAGAAGATGGTATTTTAATATTGTTTGTTTAAACTCTTTAAGAAATGACAGAGATTTTTAGTTCTCGTGTGGCAGTATTCAAAAGAACACAAGCTGAACTCAAACAGCACCACTTTAAATTTGTTGAGCCATGCATATGTTCAACTACACAGAAGGAACCCAAGGTTCTCTATTTCTATTGTGACACCAAGTTTCATATTTAACTGTTGGCAGAACATGCGGGCTACTTGAAAAAGGTGGTGCAGTAAATATCTGAACCTTGCATCTTGAAAGACTGCCAGCCCCTTCACATTTTCCAGATCTGTTATAGGAAACCTAGAAAGAGTGTAAAATGTCCTCAACCATCATCTCCTAGAGTCAGAACCCATTTTCCCTCCTTCCCTGATTATTCCTCCTTGCTTGTTAAAGTAAATGCCATGTTGTTGTGCTGTGTTTTAGCGTGTGGTGGCTGGCTTCCGTCTACCATGCCTCACTGTGGGTCTGGTAAGTGGACTGAAGAGTCACTGTTTGCTTGTGTGTACATGATACCAAAGCAGCTGGTCAATGTGACCTCTCTCATATAACCTGTTTTGATTCCACTTTTTAATCAAATTGTCCAGCAGTATTGGTGTCATGTAAGCATAGCTTATATTAACCTGGGTAGGAATTTCCCATTTATATATAGGGTGTGTTTCGGTCATAGTTTCTCATTAGTAATTCCGTATTTATACACTAATCCAATGGTTTTGTGCACATGAAAGGTAATTTACTAAGAAGTGTGATTCTGGTACAATAGAAGAGGCTTTAGCGGGCACGCGTGCCTGTGATGCTGATACACATTAACTAGTACTGCAGAAATTTATAAGAGCCAAAACATTTAAAAGAATAGACCTAGTATTAAAGTAAAAGGAAAGTACCAAAGGGAAGACCAAACCCAACATGAGCATAATTGCTGCCACATTATTCATCCCACTTAGATTCATCTTTCAAATGTACAATCGTGTATTGAATGTCTCCCAGCCATATTCAGAAAATTGGATTAAGTGAACCCTTTCCAACTTAAAGCATTTCACCTAATTGCAGAGAGACAGACTTGTTTTTAACCACCATAATTGATGTGGTTATTTTACTTCTCTGTCTCTAATCCATTTGTTTTTATTTAATCATCTCTTCTGCCTAGGAAAATATTTTCACGATGGATTGTTTGTTCCATAATCACTCAAAATTTAGAGAAAGGGACAGGATTAAAGTTAATATAAGCTGCCGTTTCTCAATCTCTTATGAACCCTGCTGTAAAAGATGCCCCTTGATGAGCTGAGAGATTTGTGCCCATGGATACAGAGACAGTTTGCAGAATGCTGTGTAATTGCAAGTTACCACAAATGAAAAGACCTGACAGCACAATGTGCCCAGTAGAAATTCCCAACAGCCACATTCTCCAGTTGCAACACCAACTGAGAATATTTGCTGTCTGAAGGAGAATTTAGGGCAGAATGTTTACTTAGACTCTTGCAAGATACTACCTAAATGCAGTATGGGGGTCACTGGCTTGTTTTGTGATAACAGTTTGATGGGAAATATGCAAAGTCAGAATCCATGTTCCTGTTAAAAGTGAGAAAAAGGACAAGACCCCAGAAAACAGTAGGGAAGGGTACATTCAAACATTTCATGTTGAAACCTTCAGGTTCAGATCCTCACATTCTTATGTATGGACAGAGAGAGAGAGAGAGAGAGAGAGAGAGAGAGAGAGAGAGAGACAGAGAGACAGAGAGACAGAGACAGAGAGAGACAGACAGAGAGAGAGACAGAGAGAGACAGAGAGAGAGATCTTGATGAACACACATCTTTCTTTGTAATTGGAAGCACACCAGCTCAAGATACTGCTAATTCAGACAAAAATCACATTATTGGCTTTTCCCTGAATCAGGCCCGTGCCATCAGCACAGTATTTATTCACAATGGAATTCTGAAATTATTTACAAACTTGTTGAGAATTTGAATACCTCCACACCAACCTAAAAATAGACCTTAAGTTCCTAGAACCTCTGATGTTCTTTTGAGTCAGCGGGAAAATAATTTGTTGACTATATATAAATGTGATGTATTTTATCATTAATTCAAGCTGTCAATAGCAGAGTCTATTTTGCTTATATTTTAAGTGATTATATGTTTTTGCAATTCCCTAATGATATCTCATTTTCAAACTGCTTTAAATATTTATTAGAAACAATATTCAAAGCTTTTCCTTCATCATAATCACCTTGAATGGTGCATTTATAGTTTTTAATATGTATTTAGTTTGTTTGTGCCTTTGGTTTCTTAAAGTTATATTTGTATTATATTCAGGAAATGCACTTTTATCACTTACAGCTGTGGTTTTAATACTGCCTTGAACTATTACTGTTCTCTTTACAACTCCTCAAGTTTTGAGGAGGAAAAGAAAAACCAAAAGGTTAACACTAACAAATCATAAATCGAAGAGAAACATTTTGGCATTTCTTAAAAAGAATATGGAAATATTGAGTGCATTGCTTCCTGTTAGCAGGACAGAAAGAATGCCTTCACTGACTTTTCATTCTCAAGCTTAAAAGAACAATTCATTTGTGTGTCCTGATGACAGTAAAGGCTTTATAAGAGAAAGCATATGCATTTCTCACACCCAGAAGAGAGGTGGCTCACACCACACAGCCAAATACCACTCAAGGACGTCAAAGTGAGAGACCAGTAGTAGGACTCTCCTGTGAAGAACATTCTGGGCTGGAGGCCTTAAATACTCTGTGATAACTTCCTATTCTTAGGCCCATTTCATTTGTGCTTTTTAGTTTTATTTTGTTTTTACTGCTGCACTACAGTCTAGAAATCCAAATGAGCTGAAAAGTTCAAAGTGTAAGAGATATTTAAATACATTTATTTTTAGTTGCCATTCTAATCATTACTGATTAGAAGCATGGCTCCTGAAGGAAAGGGAAATAAAGCTCAATTCATACCTTCAGCAAAACCCTTACCATAGAAATAAGTATATGTTTTATTTTTAATCCGACAAAATAATGTATAAATTAAGCGTGTCATTTACTGTCACTTTATCTAGGAGATCTATAATATATAGACTACATATATAGTATATAATATATACAACATAGCCAAATGTGTGGAAACTTGACAATGTATAATTTGGAATTCACATGCTACCTACATAGTAAGGTATAAAATTAAGTTATAACTTCTAGAACATTTCTCTTTTTCATTATAGTTGATACAGTTTCAGACATTCCATCACTTATTTCCACATTTTCTTTTTTTGTTTCTTTCCCACTAGAACAGGCCCCACTGTAACATTACCTGAGAGAGTCAGGGCAAAGTTCCTGTGTTTATACAGATTTGTTTGTGTTAACAGCAATTGAGTTCAATAGTAATGAAAGCAAAAGTACAACAATGAAGTATTAAAACTTTGGAGAAAATGGAGTGTATTATAGCTTGTGGGAAAACATGTGGCTACAGACTGGATGCACCATTCCTTGTTTTCTTGAAGGAATTCCCATACACATAGCTGACCTGACTAGATCTCAGACTGCTCTTCCACAGCCTTCTGCAAGGTTCTTTATTCTGCAAATAAAACAAAAACAAAAAAAGAGAAAAAAAAAACCAAAAAAAAGAGCAAAAAAAATACAGAAAACAAACAACAAAAAGAATTCAACCACAAAACAGTGAGTTATTTCAATGTGTCCTTCATGTGAAAGCTGTTAAGGACCAAATATACTACTGTGTATAAGAAGAAATTGCTTCCTAAACAGTAATTGAACATACTTAGAGTTAAACTTGCTGTGGATTTTGTCTTGGCAGTTGTCACCTTACATTATTTGTCCAAGGAAATGTGTTTGGCAGTTAAAAATCTTTCCTTAGATTTAGTGGTGGACTTTATCCTCTTAAATAAATGTTAGTATATCAGATTGTGTCCTTGAAAAATATTTTACTTGTATGAATCATGACAATGTCTAAATCTTTACTATTCTTCTGGCAAAAGCATCAGTAAGAGAAAAGGTGGAAAGGAGAGGAACAGCCTTTATGTCAGAAAAATTCTTTTTAGCTACTTACTTTCTCATGAAAAGTAAAGATGTTTACAGTGTATGCCAAGATTTTCAGTTTCTATATAACAAGAGTTAGAGGTTCTAATCATACTGAAAATTGTGTTATAATGGCCTGAGCCATGTTGCTAAGAAACAGTAGGTTCCAATTTTGTATTCCTGCTCTCCTGTGCTGAAAAGTGACTGGGTACTGTACAGGTTCATGTTCTCTGGCTGCAGTTAAATGGTCTTTTGCATTTTGCTCTGGCTTTCAGGCCAGAAGCATGCATTTTTCTACAAGAGCATCACAACAACATGCTGTAAATATTTAAAGTTAAACATTATGTGTCAATATTTGAAAGAAAAGTACTTTGAATATTTCATTTTTAAAAAATAAAATTGCAAATGAACATTGTGTCCCATTTTATTCATGCGCCAACCTCCGTTCCCCAGTCAGTCTTGTCACCTGAGACAGGGACCAATAAAAAGCACACCACTTTGAAATCGTAGGTGCAAAAATAAAAAAGACACTAATCCTAGGCAGAAGTCCCTTCACTTTTATTTTTCATATAAATAGGTTCTCTGACACAAATGACCACTTAATAAACAAATGACTAGTGGCAGTAAATTTAAATGCCTCCAGGCCGTGATGTTTTGAGAGGTTTGCTCTCTTCTTCTGGTGACTTACTCGATAATAAAGAAAAAATTAAATTGCAAATAATATTTTTTAAAGCTGGTGATGGAGAGCTCGGAGAACAGAGTGTCCAAATGCATTGGAAAAAATTAAAAATATGTTTGGAAGCAGAAATAATGTCAGAGAAAAACAACAGCTCCTCCTAGGCCCTACACCATAGACAATAACAACTGGTATTTGTCACTTATTTTTCACCTGAAGACATTTCTAAATGGCACTGGGAAATCTAACCAATAGTTTTTCAAAAGTTTGACTTCAAACTGCATACCACCCCTTATTGAACTTTCTATTTTACGCCACTGCAAAATGCCCTGTTGTTTTTTCTGCTGATTAATTTATGTATCACTGACATATCAAGCATCATATATGCCATATGTACATATATAGAACACACATATATACATATATAGGGCATCATATAAAAAATACACACATGCAGAAAAATACTTAAGGAGCCAAAAATAGCCTTAACACAGCATCACCAAAAAGAAGGGAATTTATTAGTTTAACATAGGGATTTTTTGATAGTATGCATTCTCCCTTACTCTCAGAGTACTAAAAGGGGGAGGTACAGGAGCTCCTTTAGCAGAACAAGAAATAACAGCTTTATCCATATTGTTTCCCTATTCACCGTCACTTTTCTCGCCCTTCAGTTGACTATCTCTTTATTAAGGCAAAAGTTTCCAGCAATCACCTTCACTTTTAATATTTGAATATTAACTCAAACATTTTGTCAAATTACTCCGTAAAAGTTATGTAATTCTAGCCTTTCAACAATCCAGTGAGATGGATAACATTTAATTATTCGTACCTGGCAAATGCAATAAAGGTAACAGATGGACTCACTTAAGGTCACATGGATACTAAGGGACAAAACTGGAAAGAAAATACAGCTCTCATGCATTCCTGCTTTCATTCTGTCCAGTGTCAAATGTCGTATCACCTTTGGTCTTCTTGTGAGAAAATAAATGAATTTTCAGGGAGGGAGAAGCATCAAAGTGCGTGTGTGTGTGTGAGTGTGTGTGTGTGTGTGTGTGTGTGTGTGTGTGTGGTCTTTATGTTATGTCCATGAGTTCTATTCAATTTATCATATTTGTTTTATCAAAATATGTTTATTTAAAAAACCAAGTAAGAGTTGAAGAAATAGCTCAGTAAAGTGCTTGCCACAAAAGCATGAGGACCTGAATTCCATTTCCAGAACCAACATTAAAAAGCTAGTGTGCATGCTGACATCATTGCTGTAAGCTCATATGAGCAAGTTCCGAGATACCTGGGAGACTCTGTTTCCTTTTGGTCATGCACCACCCCTGGCTCTTACAATCTTTCCGCACAAAACCCATGCAAACTTAATCAGACAAAAGCCAAGGATAGAACTGGGGAAACCAGCAGGAGACCCCAGCCTTAGCCAAGGAGCTATTAGCTGATCACTGCTGCTTGAGGGAGCATTGATCTTCTTTGTGGACGCGATGCTAGATAGGCTGAACAGGCTACAGTGGATAGACTCACACCAAGGGACATCTGGGGACACAAACTTGACTTGATAGGCCTTAACACATATGACAGAATGCATGAATTCCATGGGCAGGCTATGGGGGAGGGTACAGATCCAGGAGGGGGTCTAAATATGATTAAGAGATATTGTATGAAATGCACAAAAATTCAATAAAAATATATATTGGGGGAAAAAAAACTGTGGTAGTACATGTTTGGATTCCCAGTGCTGGGGAGGCAAAGATAAGCAGATCCCTGGGCCTTACTGGCCAGACAGCCTAGCCCAGTAGATGAAATCCAGGCAAGAGACGAGACCCTGCCTCAAAAAATAGAAAGGGTAGGCATTGGAATGGTGCTTTAGGTTGTCCCCTGGCCTCCATACTTAGGCACGCATGAATATGACACACACAAGAACATGAGCACACACATACACATATAAAAATAAAACCCAAATGGCCTAATAAGAATTCAGCCTTTTACTACAAATTTGGCCAATGACCCCAAGTTATGAAGGTCTCCAAACTAGGTAGTAGCAGCAACCTGAAAAATGGCCCAGGGAACAGCAGTGCTCAACTAAAATTGAGACCCTGGAGCTAGAGAATTCTGCCTGCAGAAAGGGATCAGAGGACATGCTTCATTGAGGTGTGATTTCAATAACAAAGTGGATTTGAATAAAGTTCACCATCTCAGATTTTCTACATTGTTATGAAAGTGAGTTATTAGCAGGAACAAGAAAAAAAATAAAAACAGCTTTGGGGTGGGAAATAGCATTGTGGTTAGAAATAAAATGTTTTACGTTTAAAAAAAATAAAAATAATAGTACCCCACTTCCTGCAAGGGCAACATGGGTGACAATATTAAATACATAACAGCCTAACAGAAAAACTAGGCTTCATGTAAACTTGACATGATGAAGGGCAAACCTGGGTTTATTATTAATAGACTTCGGATTCTGAACTCAATAAAGTGACTCGATTAAAACACAGCCTGATGTGATAATATTCTTAACAGATTTTAAAATGTTTCTCACATTTTTTAAAGTATGCATTCTACCCAAAGAAAGAATATCTTAAATTTATTTATACCAGATGTCTTAATCAAAGATGTTTGTAGATTTATTCTACCTGTGAACTACCACAAGATTCCCTGCCTGCAACCATCAGACAATTACTTAAGCTTGTCTCCCTACTGACCTTATGTCTCTAAGAACAAATTTCAGAAGAAATAGACAGAAATTTGATAAGCTTTCATGTTTCTTGTGGGATTGCTGACACACTTTTTAAAAAAGAGATGTGTGCTTGGAAATATATGTGCATTTTTCTATGTTGACTCAGCATTTTACAGGTATACGTGTTCAGCATGACAATACTATAGATATGGCAAGGATATGATCTTTCTATAAAAGTGCACCCTATTACATACTGAGAAATAAAATGATTCTCATGTTGGGAGTCAAAAATTGAAATAAACTCGATGAGTAAAGTCTAAACAAAGAAGATAGAGCCAAGCTCATTGACCGGAAAGTTTGACAATAATAAAATCAGAAAAAGCACTTACCTTTTTCAGGGAATTATTCCAATAAGGTAAGACAGCCTTGATCAGTGCTTTAGTTTGTTAATAGCGTTTGTCTCTGTGTCTTTATTTTAAAGGAATATTTTAAGAAAAAATTGATAAATAAAACTTTAGGATACTTTACTACAACTCAAAAGACCACTAATGATTTCAGAAACAATAATAAAATCAGAAAAAGCACTTACCTTTTTCAGGGAATTATTCCAATAAGGTAAGACAGCCTTGATCAGTGCTTTAGTTTGTTAATAGCGTTTGTCTCTGTGTCTTTATTTTAAAGGAATATTTTAAGAAAAAATTGATAAATAAAACTTTAGGATACTTTACTACAACTCAAAAGACCACTAATGATTTCAGAAAGTGTTTTTATTTTTTTAAAAAAACAATAAGACCTATAGAATCTAACTTGTGTCCCTAAATGTCCTTCAAAGTGGGTTCATCCAGCAGCCATGTTTGCCACAATTTCCTTAAGTTGAGTTGGGGTTTCTTACCCACTTCCTCATGTCCATGCTGGAATATTGTCTGACATGTGTTTTCGTGGGACTTGTGCATGCTGTCACCATTGCTATGAGTTCATATGAGTAACTGACCAGCTGTCTGGAAAACTCTGTTTCCTTGTGGTCATCCACCCTCGCTCGCTCTTCCAATCTTTCTGCCCCCTCTTCTGCAATGATCCCTGAGCCTTCAGAGGCAGAAGTTTGATATATGTATCTTATTCAGGGATAAACACTCTGCAGCTTCTTATTCTCTGCACATTGGCTAGTTTTGGTTTTCTGTGTTAAACACCATCTGCTGCATAAGAAAGCTTCCCTGCTGAGAGATGAGGGACACATTCATCTATGGGTATAACAATAAATCATTAGGAGTCAGTTTAATTCAACAATTATTTAATAGAAAACTAGTATTAGGCTCTCCCTTAGAAAGCATTTTTCAATCAAGGCACTTGTATAGGAACATACAAACATCACTAATATATATGTAAAGTTATTCAAGAATAAACAGATTCCAGAGAGTCAAAAACGACACGTATACTGAAACCTAAATTCAAGCTCAGATAATTTAAAAGTATTTTTAAAGACTAGGGGTGTCACTCACTCAGTTGGTAGAGTGCCCAGTACACATAAAGCCCTGCATTGAAGTCCCAACACTCCATTCATCAAGTGTGGTAGCACATTCCTATTATCCAAGAACTCAGGATGTGGAGGCAGAAGGATCATCAACTCAAGGTCTTCCTCAGCTACACAGCAAGTTCAAGGCCAGCCTGAACTACATGAGATCCTGTCTCGAAAGAATAGTATTTAAGTATGTGGATTTTAGTTTTTGAAAATAGATTTCTGAATTCATTTACAAATTAGTGATGCTCTGGCTTCAACAAATGTTGAACTTCCCACATCAGTGTTACTATGCAACATCTTTGTACTGTCTTAGCATCCATGTTAAATGTTCAGTAGGCAAAAAGTAGCTCTTTCCCTCAGCAGTTCTCTCCTTCTTAATCAAGCTGACAGCATTCATGCAAAACCCAGAGCTCTATAGTTCACAGATGGAATTAACCTTTCCTATGGACTATGGACCAGAGTATATGTGCTGATTCATCCTGCCTCAAAAGACAGATTGGCCTATACATTGGAAACTTCACTTACATGTCTATCAACTCTTGTAATCATTGTTGTCTTTTAAATGTTCTTTTTATTGTTTTTACTGTTAACTTTCTTGTCCAAGTGGAGAGTGAGTTGCCTGAAGGCAAGAAACAGGTGTTTTACTTCTCTACCCCCAGTGCCCTTTGTTGTTTGTTTGTTGAATGAATAAGTTCTGTGAGCCCTAAAGCAATGTGGCATGCTATCATTCAGAAAAAAATCATGAAAATATAAATGTAGGAAGAAAACACTGCATACAATTCCAACTCTTAGGTTTCAATGACTCAGAATTGTTAAAAATTAATGAAACAACAAGGTTTCCCTTGGTTCTATGAGGTTACCTAATAACAAATCATTGGGTCATGAGCCTCAGTGAGTGCTGAAGAGTCCCTTCCAAATGAAGTTCTACATGTAGAAACAATTGGGGCAGAGTTAAATGAAAAAAAATTTTAAAACATTTCATATGATCAATTTCTAACATAATGTCAAAACCAGTAGCATCAAATACAATAAGCAGTGGCTATATTATATCATAGACTCTTAAAGTCCAGATTGGTCTGTGGATTTCGTTTGGTTTTCAGGCAGGGTGTTTCATACTGGAAGATGATATTATTAAACTCCCGATCTCCCTGCTTCTACAATTCTCAAGCGCAGGAATTCAAACTGTGCACTACTACACTCCACTGATCCACAGAATTAACTATCCAACAGCAGAACTCAAGGCAAGAAAGCTGATAGATTAGACAAATATTCTATGCTCTTTATCTAGTGCTTGTTTTAGCACACAACTTTAAAAATCTCAAAGGAGCTTGTGGCACCATATGTGGTAGAGAACTGCACACCAACCACCTTCCTAAATGCAATCAAGCAAGATACTTCAAAATCAGTAGCTATCAAATATTTCATTTAAAATGCTGCTTTGGAAAAACGCATGAAAATTATTTTTATATACACTTGGTAAGAATTGACATTAATCATTTATGAAGTACTCACTGGGCTTTAAAGTGTTTCCCATTTGCAAATACAATAACTAGAAGTACCCTAAAGGATTATTTTTCCCAATCTCCACTTTAAAGCACTTCATTATCCACAATGTTCTTTTCAGCTTTAGCATCAGGCTAGGTGTGTCCATTACAGGACTGGAGTGGTGTTAGAATGCATGTGTAGCTCACTGAACTGTATTATCTACAATATACAAGACTTAGCATATATTTAAATTATGAAAATAAAGTACAAGGTGTTTTATTCTTCTTCATGGCGCTTTCAGGAAAACATCAGAATCTCTTTTCCCTAAAGAAAAAGAATAACAAAAATCAAGAAAATTTAAATTTATATAGTATTAAAATTACAGGTTAACTCAAATTGGTGATATTGAACAGGAAACTCAAGATGATGCAAACCAATGATATACCTCATTTAACTGTCACTTAAAACTGAGCCATAAAGAATGGAATACTGGGAAAAAGAGAAAATCTAGCTCCTGTGGAAATTAAAATTCTATTTGCATTTCTATTTTAAGTACTAACTATTCATTAATTTAATTCACTACTTGACTCTGATGATCAATTTATGCCTGAGCCTGGATCCCTGTCAAAAAAAAGATATAAAAACTCATTTAATCAGAAGTATTAACTGAATCAAGGCACATCATCTTGCTCAACACAACTTATTAACCTCTTTTCAAAGAGGAATAAGAGCTAGTAGTGACAGACATTGGCTGGCATTCACTCTTTGGCATGAGACAAACACTAAATATAGTTTTGCTCAAGAGAAGTAATAATTTATGCCAGTAAAACAACCAAGTTTGCTCATTTAATTTCCTTTGCCATTTTAAGATTCCATGCATTCAAACACCATTCATTCAGAAATCAGAATCACATATCCCAGAAGCAGGGGAAACACTGTTTAGGGGAAACATTGTTTACTAAGCAAAAAGTAAAGGATAGGCCAAGTGTTCTCTGAATCAACCCATCTTTCAGACCATTTGTGCCTAGATTAGTGAAGTAAAATGGTACTCACTAGCTACAGAAGGAACCAGGAAGAACAAGATAGAACAAGAGATGCAAATATTATAGCCTTAGAATTTTTTGCACTGGGCACAGTTCTATTAAAAGTGTATATTAGAGCGTATTGAGGCTCTAGCATATCATTGGTTCTCATCTGACTTGCTGGCTATATCTTCCACAGTTCATGATATGATCATGAAAACGTACACCCCCCTTCACTTCCAAATTCTTTCACAAATGAACATTAAACCCTACCTGTGGTGCCTTGTGTACCTCTGGCAGAGGACTTCTCGACCGGATACTGCAGAGGAATTACAATGCCTTGATCTGGTTTCTGAAATGCTGAAATGAGATTTTTTATTTTCCGGAAAAATCTTTTATGTACCCCAGGTGCTGTCTGGAAAATAAAAGGCCAAGAAAATTATTTATTTACCTCATAACACTTTTAAAAAGACCTATAAAACGTGGGAGGGATGCTTAGAGAGGTAACATTTGTGTAACTTTCTCAAATATTTGAAAACATATGGAAGAAGGGAAAACAACATTCCAGAAGAGCTTACTTTGGATGGCTGAATTTCCCTGCAAGAGGAGCTAATGAGCTGTCATTCAGTTCTCCCAAGGGTGGTATTAGTTTGTACAAGCTCCTGCTCACAGCCCTGCCCTTCCTGCCTGCTACCCATCATACATCTCGAACCTCTAAGGGTATACAGGCCATTACCCACAATGAATTCAGCAACAGAGGGGATGCAGTTAAACATAAAAAGCCCAGATCCTACAGGTCATTAATAAAGAGCCTAGGGAACCAAAACAACAACAGCCAAAAGCCTGTCTCCCCCATCATCATTTCACAATATAAAATACTATACAGGAAATTAAAAATTACCATTATACACACCGTGCACAGCTAGTTAGTACTCATACTTTTTTTCCTCATAATAGGTCTGCTTCATCCTTCACATTATTTTTCTCTTCCTTGGGAAACCTCCTTATGCTTTCCCAATTTATTCTCACAGCCAGCACTACACTATAACAAAGATTTCTCTATGACATGAGAATGAAAAAACTATAAAAGGTCACATTTATTTATATATTCATTTGTTTTTAAAGAAACGGTATTTGCAGGTGGCTGTTAAAATGTATTCCTTCTGTGACATCAGCCCTCTCACAAACACACTGCCTGAAATCAACAATTTCCCACAAAAGCTTATGAGCCAAACTTAAGGCATCAGCTCAAAACTGTCATTTTACATAAAATAAAATAGTGCTGCTATGAGCAATTGAACAATGACTAGTTTTTTTTTTAAGTTGTTTTTCAGCTATTCCATCTGGAAGATTTTTGAGCTGGGAGCTGCTTGGTTTTTAGCATTTAATGAGAAAAAACATCAAAGCTGTCATGCAGACTTCTGTCAACTAGACAATGAGCTAGAGATAACAGACTATCCAAAGTTAGTCATGGTCACTGGCTACTTTGGAGGAAGTAGTTTTCTAGTACAAACACCACAGAAGTTCTCCTTGGCTGTAAATTAGTATCCACCTGTACACTTTTAGTAGCTGTAGAACAGTCTCCCATCCAGTTCTATCCCTGTTGTCAAAATATCTTCCTAAATTTCTGTTGAGGCCTCATCCAAAAATAACATGGTCATTCTTGCAGAGACCCAAATAGCTCTTTGCCTCCAAAATAGAATCTACAAATTGCAAAGACAGGCCATAGGCACAAAATTCCTCCTTTAGGTCTTTCTTAGAGCACTTTTTGGTTTCAACACACTTTCCTATCTTTTGCCTTCACTGTTCTGTCACAGACTGGTAGTTATTGACTCTTTCAGTTATTCGCATTTCATAGATAAAAACATGTAAACAAATCATGTTTCTTAAGGAAAATTAACCAGATTATCTGAGGTCACACAGACAATCAGAAGCAACAGAATTGTCTCTGAATCCTTTTCCAGTTAGGACTAGATCAAGAAGTTTCCAGTGAAGCTAAAGTCACCAGTCAGGAGACAAACTACATGTGAAAATTTTCATTTATGCTTTTACTTTTTTTAAATTTTTTATGTGTATGAGTGTATTGCCTACATGGATGTAAGTGCACCCATCTCATGTAATGTCCATGGAAGTCAAAGGAGGGCATCCTGGAATTGGAGATATAGACGGTTGTTAGGCTCCATGTGGGTGCTGGGAACCAAACACAGGTTCTCTGCAAGAGCAGCCAGTGCTTTTAACCACTGGGCAATCTCTCCTGTCTCCATTTATGCTATTTCTGTGGCTTATAAAATTAGTTTCAGGGGAGGCAGCATTCTATGTGGACTAATAGGAGTTAACACTTGATTATCTGTGCTAACAGAGAAGACTAATAGCACCAGACAGAAAGAAGGAATTTGAACTTGAGACTTTCTTCAGCAAATGACTGACCTAATTTATCGTGCTTTTCTTAAACTAATAAGTAAATTTTTTATTGTCTAAGGATCTCCTGATGACCAACTACCCAAAAAAGCCCATAGGCGCAGAAATTGGCAGGGAGAGATCAGGAGAATTTTTACAACATACTGATGACAATCCATCCACAAATAAATGATAGTTAACTATATGTAGAATTCTCTAAATTAGCAATTCCTCATAAGTTTTGCCTGAGTCACAAAAGAGTTAATAGATTCAGCAACCTTCTACCTAAAACTAAGACTACGCATGGTAATTCTCTTTTATCATTCAGTAGATCCAAGGTTCAATTTCATTCCACAACTTGAAACATATCCTAGATTTCAAACAATCTATGCACAGAGGAAGGAATACTACTGCCATAATTGTTCATACAGTGTGGCAAATGAAAATATTGTTCCAGTAAGCAACATAAATATCACTTAACCCACTTTGAACAAAACATTTATCATAAGAATTGCAACACTGACAGCCACTATCCTGTTGGCGAATTCAGTTCTTATTCAAGTTTGTTCAAGTCCCAAACTGTCACCTCTTAGTTATCCATGAAAACACGTTTTGGATCACAGCTGATCTTCAATATGCTCTAGAGAAATTTCTTCTACTCAGGTGGTATGAACTCTGAGAATACACACTCCTTTAATAGTCACCTTAGCAAGAAGGCAAAATTTGTAGACAGGAAAAATGCAATAAACATTTCCTGAAACTAAGGATTTTTTAGCTCTTTTAAATTTGTGGATAATACACTCCAATCTTCTGCTATCTTGCTGTAGATAACTGAAATATTGTTATATAAATTAGGTCAAATCAGAAAATAGAATGAGGGGTATTTATTCTCAACAAACTCTTCCTTGCTTACCATAATCACAAGTATGTAACAATTCAAATATAATGTTGTATTTGAAATGGAGGAAAGCACATTTATAAACAAATATAAGAATCTAACATTCGTTCCATTAAAAAATAAAATTGTGCAGCAGAAAGGTATTTCTTGAGTGAAAAGGACTATTTGTGACCAACTCATACACAAATTCATATACAAACATATATCAGATATGCATAACTATTAGTCATGATAAATTGTTTAATTATATGCAGCGATACAAAGATTCTTCTAAGTAGGCACAAATAGTTTTGATTAGAAATTGTACTTACTTTTCCTTAAGTAGTATTACTTATCCTGACATAAAGTAACAATGTGGCCAGCAAGGGGCAGGGGGCATGAGGGGGAAAAGGACCATCAAATAACATTAGACACTTGTCTTATGAAACCTATTTCTATATACAATGTATACGCCAGTAAAAAAGCAAAAATTAGTTGAAGATATCATTCAGTGAGACAGCACTTGCCTAGCATGAATGAGTCCCTAGGTTTAATTCCTAGTATTGCAAACAAAATCACTAAAAGTTAAAGGCAAAACTTAAAATCTTGGGGCTGGAGAGACAGCTCAGCGGTTAAGAACATTGGTTGTTCTTGCAGAAGACCCAGGTTCGAATCCCAGCACCCACATGGCAGCTAATAACTGTCTCTAACTCCAGTCCTAGAGGATCCGACAGTCTCTTCTGACCTCCGCCGGCACTGCACGACACAGGTGCACTTACCTACATGCAGGCAATACACTCACACACATAAAATTATAAGAATAAAATTTAAAAGAACTTAAAATCACCAGGCGTGGTGGCGCACGCCTTTTATCCCAGCACTCGGGAGGCAGAGGCAGGCGTAAAGAACTTAAAATCGCCAGGCGTGGTGGCACACGCCTTTTATCCCAGCACTCGGGAGGCAGAGGCAGGCGGATCTTTGTGAGTTCGAGGCCAGCCTGGTCTACATAGTGAGTTCCAGGACCGCTGGGGCTGCAAGGAGACCCTGTCTCAAAAAGACACAAAAAAAAGAACTTAAAATCTTAAACAAATAACAATGTGCTTGAAAATTTGCCCTAATTTATCTTAGCACTTTAAAATGTTTAGAGTTTATAAGATGTTTTAAATGCATCAATTAATTATTACTAGATGTTAATATTAACATGTATGCTTCCAAAAGATCATTATGAAGTACTTTCACTTTCAAGATGGACTGTTATAGAGTCAGAAACCAGCTGGGTGGTGGCACATGCCTTTAATCCCAGCACAGGAAGGTGATCTCTGTTAGAGGCCAGCCTGGCTTACATAGCGAGTTACAGGCCAGTTATAGCTACGTAGTGAGACCCTGTCTCAAAAAAGAGTCAGAAACCAACAAAAGCATTTGAGTTTGAAGACTCCAGCTGTAACAGATATATCAATGATCAGGAAGATGGGATATACCACACTTCCTTGGTCTGTAGAAAAATTTCACTTTACAGGCATTTCTTAAAATGGTACAGTGGGTTTCAAATGTTTTCAAAGACACAAGAAAACTTTGTTCTGAATAAATCTTATTTAAAGTCCAGGTTCATAAACTAAATTAAATGGTATTGTTCAATTGAAACCAAGAGGTACCCAGAAGTATACCCACTCACCTCCTCTCCTGCCATCCCCTTCTCAGGGCATCCCAAGATAAAAGAGCACTATGATTCTGCAGAATATGTCTTAAAAACACTGCAGTACCATGTATGGACTCCCTATGTAAATATGCATGAAATTCACAAAGAATAAATTTTAAAATTGTTTTTTAAAAGCACTACAATTTGCCCTTCTCTATTCCAGCTATCCAGAGGTCTCCAACATGGCTCAAGTGGGAGTCCTGCCGACTCACAAAGAGCAGCTTCGATTACCTAAACTCTTAGAAATCCCTCCATTCTCTGAACTGATGTGCTAAGTAGCTTAGCGCCAGACTCTACGCATATTGTTCAGCACTTTTCAGCACTTCACGTTTTTTACAGGCTAACTATGTGCCAGGCTCTGCAACTAAGCACTTCTTTACATGAATTATCTTATACTCCTTAAAATGAATCCTCTGAGTAAAGGAACATTTGTAGGCTCATTTTACAAATGATGAAACTGGTTCAGGCAAAATTAACCATAAAGAGGACCAGGCCTGGAGCCTAAGTACACATGACAGCAAAGCCCAGGATCGTACACTACTATCTAATTCATTGCGCTATTGCCTGAAGGCTTTTATAGACTATTAAAAAGTAGGAATCCTGTTTTTTTTTTAATCCACAACAGCACTAACAGTAGCATT